ATAATGCCCTTTTTAGGTGTGGCCTTGGGAAAACTTAAGAGACAAAGACTGTGTGATCCTGGCAATAACTTGGAAGATTTTTATTATTTGCTTACACCAAAAACCAGAATAAACCATTTAAAACTATCTTAGAGTGTTCATTTTTCCATCAAGAATTATGTAGTTTGATAACTCTTTTCCTTTCTCTCTCTCTCTCTCACACACAGACACACACATGCATGCACATATGCACACATGTACATTGTAAGTGCATGAGGATGGTAGAAAGGGACATGGAGGCAACATATCTGGAAAGACTTGAATGAATTTGGTTGCCACTGCAACCACCACGCTTTTTCCTACTGTATGTTCCTAACACCTTATGGTCTTTAGCATGACGCCATAAGCTTGGGTGCGTGGGGCCCTCAGCAGGCTAGTGTTAATAGTTTGACATAAAAACACTCAAAAATTATATAAATCTTAAATGTCAACTAGAGTAAAGATAATAGGCATTCTAAGACAAAGGAAATAAAGTTTATCACAGAAAGACTGTTTAATTCATAACAAATACAGCCTTGATGGCTAAAACACTGCCATGTACTCCTGCAACCCTGGCCTCAGCCACAGCACTTACTAGACAAGCCTTCAAACACTCATCCAAATCAGTCCAAACCACATATGAGATTTTTTATTTCCACCCCCTTTCTCCTCTATGCCATTACTTTTTCATAGTTAATGTCTATGTGGAACTAACTCACTGCACTGTTTTTCCATTCGTACTCCCCAAAGCCTCCTCCAGAGTCATAAAACCATGAATAAGAGGAATTAGCAAACAGAAAGCCTATGATTTTAGAGTATCTGGGGTAAATGGGAATATAATTAGGCTTGTGCTGGTTTACAATTAGGAAAAGGATTATATCTGCTTTTACTCACTATCTGTGAAGGTAACCTGGAGAAATATGACTAATTTGGAGGAGAATTATCACGTTAGCCCATAGCTCTAGGTCAGCCTCTCTCTCTCCCAGCTGTGGTAACCCTACAGGCCCCTTCTTAAAAAGAAAGCACTGGCTACCACCCCTGCTGCTTTATAAATGCTCTCTCCAACCTGGAGGGATTGTGCTCACAGCACAGTGCAATTTTCACTTAGAAATGGGCTTCCAATTGTGTAGACACACCTCATTAGCTAAGCCCTACCTCTAGAGTCAGGGACTTTGGTACAGGTGTTAAGTACTAGATAGGGAAAAAAGCCCGCCCCCAAAACCAAACAAACAAAAAACAACTAACAAGTAAAGAAAGAAAAGCTTTGATTTGTACTCAAATAAATAAGGGAAGGCAGTATTCTTTATTCCTGGGCCCTGCGCCGTGCAGTTCTAAGGTTTGTTATTGTTATTGCTGTTGTTTTACTTCATTTTTCTTCACCCCGGGGTAGGAAGTCACATTTTTTTCAGATGATGAGGGTGAGGTTTGATAAGGGTTTTGCTTTGTAGAATTATAGGAAAAAAAAAAAAAAAAAAAAAAAACCTTATCTATTGTTTTGCTTCCTACGGCTCCTGCTCTTGTGCTTTCCTGTCATTGTCAGGTGTGCCATTTGGAAGTATTTGGTTACACTTATTTAAATGTTTCATTTTATCAACCTCTGCTGAGGATATATTTGGCGCTTTATTTTACTTATTGGTTTATCCGATAAGTTGTTTCTCAGTTGTCTAAGGAAATACGTGTGCTGTTAACTGCAGCAGGTGTTAAAGCGTTTGGCAGAGGTTGTCACTTGGAAGAGAACCAACCCAGCTTGGGCCACGTCCTGTGGTAGTAAATTTCCGCTCCGTTGTAGGTTTCTCCTGCTCATTGCTGATTTACATGGCAGGAAGAACATCTTAGGATGTTCTATTGGGTTAGATGACTCTGTTGCCCTCAGAAATATTTAACGAATCAGTGCCCATTAGAAGACCAGACTAGAGACAATTGCTCATCTATTTTGTTCTTTTTCTCCCTGTTTTTTTTTTTTTCCTCTCAGCCTTTTCATCATGTGAAAGAGAATTGCACCATAAACTGGCTGTGTGCAATTAATATGTGATACTGTACTTGCCTTTTTCTGGATACCATTTTATGTTTCATGATTAGCTTTGGCTAACAGCAGAAATGGGAGAGAAGTGTCCAGAGAGGGATGCTACTAAAAAGGCTTTACGTGACAAACCATATTGTCAAACATTAACAGATCTACACCACTGCAGAAGGATGGCAACACGCAGAGAAAGCACCAGTGGCCATCACAGATAACATTATACTTTTAACCTCCTTTATTTTTTCACAGTTTATTATTCTGCAAAGTATGTTCTGGATTATTATTTGGGTAAATTGATAGTTTTTAGCATCCAAAATTTTACCTCAGTAAACTCAGTGCCCCTTTCTACATTTCATGAAATTATTTTTATTTGAGCTTTAGCTTCATTCTGTGTCCTTTCATTTGACCTATTGGTAAACCAAAACCTTGCTTCATTCTCATCACTAGTTGTCACTAATGATGTTTCCAGACCTGTCAAAGATTGGCTGTACTTTTGAATTACACCACCCCATCTAAAAGAACCACCAGGTAGCCTTCCGCCTGAAACACACATTCCATTCTATTTAAAAAACATTTCCTCCAAGTTGGGAATTGTAATACAGTCTTTACTTGCTCACCTAAAACATGAAGATATTACAATATTTTCCAGTCATTCTCAAAGTATACTCTGAAATAAAATGCCCCTGTACAGTGTTTCAAAGGTTGTATAACCATAAAACTCACCTTCTTGAAAACACCAATTCTAGCCTTGAAATAGACTGGTTTGGATCAGAATCTCTAGGGGGAGTGGCCTGGGAAGCTGTGATTTTGACAAAACACTTAAGTTTGGGGGACTCACCTCTTTGCATTTATGAACTGTCTGGTATAGGGGAAAGAGAAATGTCTACAAAGATAGGAAGACAAAGGTTTGAGGCTGTGCTTTATCGTTTACTAACTTATGACCCTGAGTAAGTATACTTCTCTGAGCTTCAGTTTGCTGATCTGTAGATTAGGCATAATTCAGATTGTGAGGAGCTGATATTGAAGATAATTGACAGCCAGCCTGGCATGGCAGCAACCAATGAGAATCAACACTGGCCAGAGAACTGTGCCAGGAATCAACCTTTTGATTGCTGGATTATGGGGCTTGAGAGCAGGTGATGGTAAGAAAGCCTGGAAAACTTGGAAGTCAGGTGGGAAGTCTTTGGGAGACTGGAACAGTGGCTATTTACTAACTCGTGAGAAAACAATGTAGTATTTTCACAGCTGGAAATGCTATATTCATATGCCCATTAGCTGGCTCTCAGCCCTGCATAAATGAAAAGATGGTTGTACATGTTAACATAAAACTTAAAAACATAGTTCCTAATACCTAGTGGGTATTTAACAAATAAGTTACTATTATCTTTTATGGTTTTATTACTTGTAATAGACTTGTTATACCTGGAGTATAGGGCTAGGAGACAAAGACCAGGACCAAGAATTCATAGACACCCCCAGGGCTTCTAAAATCGAATTGTTAGCCAGAGTATTAATCTGGCCATAGGAGAACAAGGATGTGAACACAGAAAGGGAATCTGAAATTGGGAGATGAGTCAAAGAGGAAAGGACAGACATGTTATAAACTAAGGTTAGAGTGAAACTCACATGTTACCTTAAGCAGAGGTGGGACAGGTAGTTATTATGGAGCATACACAGTGGACAGCTGGCAGAGATCAAAAGACAGATATTCAGATATTCAGCAGTAGATGTCAAGAACCCACATGTAGGGATGGGGATCAAATTAGATGTCTTAGTTCGAACTGCTATAACAAATACCATAGACTAGGTGCTTAAACAACAAACATGTATTCCTCGCAGTTCTGGAGGCCGGGAAGTCCAGGTTCATGCCAGCTGATTCGGTTTGTGGCTAAGGCCCTCTTCCTAGTTTTCAGGTGGATGCTTTCTTACAATATCCTCCCTTGGTGGAATGAGAAATCATCTTTCTGGTGTTTTTCTTAAAAGGGCACTAATCCCATCATGGGAGGTCCACTCTCATGACCTAATTACCTCCATTCCACATACAATTACACTGAAGATTAGTCTTCAACAAACGAATTTTGGTGGCATGCAAACTTTCAGTCTCTGCCATTAGGTGAGGGCCTAGATAATAAAGGTGGTCAGAGACAGGAAAAACTTGGTTGCACTAGTCTCAGTGTTATGATAGAAAATAAATTGATTGAGTATGGAGATTAAACTTCTTAAATACAAGCCCTGAAATTATCGGTGCCTAAGGACTGGGCTGATTATACTGTATAGATGAAGGCTAAGCAGACATTTTTCCAGTTGCTTCTCTGATCTATAGTGGAAGAGCAAGCAATGCTAGGGCATACTGGGAAAGGGTTGGGTGAGAAAGGAAGGCAATGACTTGCAGAGGGGCTGGCCTGGGAAACAGAAGTCAGCAGGCATGGAAATTGCCCGTTGGGGATGTCATTCTTTGTCAACTCACATCCACCAGCAATTCCTGCCTCTAGCTCATTTCTCTCATTCATTGACATCAGCTCCCCAAGTCATGTAACTGTATGGAAGCATATCTGCCTTACCCCAGGAAAGGATTATATACATTTATTAAATGGAAAAGAGCTAATTGTAGAAAACTGAACTTTTTTCTTAAAATAGAAAATACTACTCAAGGTAATGAGTGACAGAAGCATAGACTGCAAATCTGTCATTGAACCACTGCTGGAAGGAAGAGAAATCCAGCTGCTGGCACCTCTGTGGTATCAAATTTGAGAAAACTTCATGTTTTGTAACCCACAGCAGTATTGATTATTTTCTGCTGCCTTCTGTGGGAACCAGAAATAATTGTAGCAAGAAGGCTGGCCATGGGCAAGAAGAAAAAGGGGTTTCCAAGTAGCTCAGGAAACACAAGGGAGGGGAGCAACTATTGACTGGAACCTTTGGGTCCCAGGTTACCTTTTGAAACCTGCCTCTTCCTCCACAGAGCTCTGGCCAGTGTTGATGTGGAGTACTGGGGAACATTTCTTCATTCTATTATCAGTAATCCCCAAGGGAAGTCTTACCAAACTGTTTCCTGGTTGCTCTCATTTCTAAATTTTGAGCCGGTGACTAGAGTTACTCATAAGGTGGGTACTTTGTACTCAATGACTTAAATAAGTGCATATTTATTTATATCTTTAAATTAGTTTCCTTCTGCACCTCCTGTTCTATGAATTGTCACAGTTAAGCTGAAGAGGGTGAGTTCGAGCTGGAAAGACAGTTACTGTTTCTTGAGTTTAAATTAAATCCTTGACATTACAAAACATTGCAGATACATTACCATTGTCGATTGTGTCCTGTTCATATGTTTTTGCTATTGCATTATTCAGAATTAAGTTAAAAATTCTTTTTTATTGTGTTTGAATGTTTCTAGGACATGGACGATCAATATTTCTAGCCTGTGCACACATTCTACCTAAGGGCTGTGAGTCATATTTGCTTTGAAAGAAATAGCACTTAAGGACTGTCAATCAAGTCAGTTGTAAGAAACATAGAACTCTTTAAGAATTACTCTGCCTCCTCCTCACATCTAAATATAGATAACTGGTTGGAGTGTTTAAGACAGATAGTGAAGCTGTATTTTTAAAATGGTGCAATTGCAATTAATCAATGAAAATAAAAAGCTCAAGGTCTTTTTACCTATACATATCAAATATATAACTTTTATTAAATAAAAAATTTTATAACATGATAAGTTATGAATATGCATAAAGAAATTACCTGGGTTCTTCAAGTCATTTGTCAGTATGATAGTATTTTACTTTCATGGCTCCCTATAAACTGGTTGGGAAAGCACTGGGGGGCAAGGTGTGTGAAGATGGCATTTCTAGTATCCACTTGGCCATTGTTTAAGTACATAAATCTGGAAAAACTACTGCCTTCATCTCTTCCTTCCAAGGGCTGAGTTTCCTTTCAGACTTCGGGTTAAGGGTTACATATTAAGAATTAACAATGTCTCTTCAGGTTCATTTCCTGTATCTCTCTCTGTGAGAAGTTGGAGCTAATATCAATATAGCTTGATATAGAAGAAATCCTCCTCTAACTCTACAGCTCATTTACCCAATTAATGCTCTTGAAAGTAAATAAAAGCAAAATTCTTCCTGTAGTGTTTAATATATTAATGGCGTAACAACAATTCACTTACCTTAGGCTCATACCTGTGCTAGGTGTGTGTATATTTGATCCACTCCATGTATGTACTGCTATTTATCTGTCACATAATTTATATTTACAAAGTGATATTTGGATTCTTCTGGCATATTGCTGCCAGGAATGCCAATAAAGGAGCCATACTGTTCCCTAATATCCTTGATTATATTTGTGTCAGTGTCTACAGAGGTTATATCAGCATACGGAACAATGGACTGTACCATTACATTAGCACAATTTTGCAGCATCGCCTGGCAGAAGCTCACACTTAATCCAAGAGATTATTCAACCCTATCGAATATGATTACTCTATAAATATTTGCCCAAGCTCAGCACCAGCCGTTATATCACTAATCACACAGAGGTTTGTTATGGCGAAGACCCCCAGTGTCAGCAATTTGAAAAACAAAGCTAATTAGTTTTGATTTAGTGATGAGAAGACTTATTAAATCGAAAGAGAACAGTTTACATAGTATAGTGGCTATTTAGAGCACATAGGAATGTGAAGGAAATTTATTGTTGTTTGCACAGGATTTTGAGAAGGAACAGAAAGACTAAGCTAGTAATTCAGAGATATGTGATGGCCAGTGGCAGCAACCAGTGATGGCTGGGGGACTTTGTGGCTGGGGGTTTAAGGGGAGATGATACAAACACCCCCTTAAAAGTACTACTCCAAACAAACATACGTCTAAGTAAACAGTATATTTGCAACCAGCTTTAGGATAAGTTCCTGATTTCTTTTTTTTTTTTTTGAGACGGAGTTTCGCTCTTGTTACCCAAGCTGGAGTGCAATGGCGCTATCTCGGCTCACCTCAACCTCCGCCTCCTGGGCTCAGGCAATTCTCCTGCCTCAGCCTCCTGAGTAGCTGGGATTACAGGCACGCGCCACCATGCCCAGCTAATTTTTTGTATTTTTAGTAGAGACGGGGTTTCACCATGTTGACCAGGATGGTCTCGACCATGTTGACCAGGATGGTCTCGATCTCTTGACCTCGTGATCCACCTGCCTCGGCCTCCCAAAGTGCTGGGATTACAGGCTTGAGCCACCGCGCCCGGCCAAGTTCCTCATTTCTTTTCCCATACAGAGCACTGCCCCTAAACTTCTCCGAGAATTCTGAGGCCAACACGATTATGGGTCCACTGATATTAATTTGGGGGAAAGGTGGCAAAAAAGCCACCCCTATGTTTCTCAGCCACCAGCCTACTATAAATCACAGAAAGAATGCACTGATAAAAATCTCATTGGCATAGGTACATTTGGATAAAGAAGCCAGAGAAGACTGGAAAAACTTGACAAAGAAATAGTTCCATTGGGAACTCTGAGTCAGGCAATTTGAAGGAACTGGAAACTCAACAAATAGGAAAGAAGTCAGGATCAAAGGAGGTGATATAATCAAATAATAGTAATAAATACAAGAGAATACTTTCTATGTGCCAGGCCCTGTTTTAAGCATTATTTATTTATTTAATAATCACAAAAATCCCATGAGGTAGGTACAATTATTATCTCTAGTTTACAGAAGGGAAATATATGGTATAGAGAGGTCAAATAACTTATTGAAGGTAATATGTGTGTGTGTGTGTGTGTGTGTGTGTGTGTGTGTGTGTGTGCGCGTGTGGGTGTGGGTAGGGGGCGTGTATGGCACATATATATATTGCAGAAATGAAATTCAACCCCAGTCAACCACCTGGCTCCAGAAATAAACCATAAAAGGAAGCAGAGGGAACAAAGAGTCATAGAAAATTGCTATGTCTTAGTGGACATTTGTTTATTGCCTGGAATACAAGCATCCCTACCCCATTCTTAAAACTCTTCCCAAGTTTCCCAGTTGATACATGACTAAAACTTACTTCCATCCCTGCCTCTGCAGGTAGGCTTATCCAGGGTCAGAAATTTAGTGCATTTCATCTACTTTTAGAGATAGATATCAGATCCAATTAAAACAAATTAGGGTCAAGAAGGTTTAATTCTGTGACTTAATATGCTCGTAGGGTCTGACATATCTCCCACACATGAGCAGAGAGTTTTCCTGGAATGCAGTCAACACCAAGGAAGCAGGGCAGAGAAATGGGGAGAAATCCTAATTTCATTTTATGACATTTGACTCAAGACCTTACAGAAATTAGATATACTTGTGGACTACCTAATTATATGAGTTAGTAAATCCCTTTTAGTTGAATTTGTATAGGGTATTCTCATACTTGCAATATAAAAAAATTTAACAAATATACAGAGAGAAGTCAGGCAGGGAAAGATCCCAAAGTCTTTGCGATCAGCTTCAGGACGCAGGTAGTTACCATGCTCTTTCATATTCAGACCATGGCAGCTGTTTATTAGATGGATTTAGGATAGCATTGCAGACATTTTCTTGTTTTTCTGTGTGCAGAGAAAAGTCTAGTTGACCGTTTCTGGCAGATGAATTATTGCCTACTTCATGATTTTGTCTAAGACCCACCTAATGACTAACAAGTAAAGAGAAGGATGTGGTCATAATCAACTAAATCAAAACCAGAAATCTTGAAGGATTTGTGACCAAAGTTATAGTAATAGACTACAAAATCATTAATCTCAAAGTCCAATGAAAAATAATCTTGAAAGAATCCCCTCTATAAACATTTCACTTTTTTTCTCAGTCCAAGTCAATCTCCTTGTATTTCTGGTGACTCTTTTTTTGCTCATATTGTCCTTGATATGGCCCCCTTTCCCTGACTTTCTATCCAATGGTACTGGGATGAGATGTTCTTTAAAAGCGTTTTTTGGTTTGTCTTCACCAACGTTGGTCTTTCCTTTTTCTAAGCCACTGAAGTTGATATTGTGACAGAATTGTGGATGATGGGCTCAGGTTGCTCCTCAATAGTATGTGTTCGTCCAGGCCCTTGGTCCCTCACTCACCCAAGAAGGGGGGAGAGGACCCCACTGGGCACAATGAGCTCATTCAAGTAAATATCAGACCCCAAAGAGTTTTGCAGAAGTGATTTATTTATGCAGAGAGAGAGAGAAAGAAATAGAGCGAGCGAGCTCCCACGCTGTCATAGGAGAGGATCCAAAGATGGAGTCTGCACAGATGAGAGAGAAGGGGACTTTTAACCTGGGAGTTATTCCCGCCCCATTTAAGTTTTTTGTTCTATGAAAGTAGTTCATTTAAATTTCTGGTGGAGCGATTGATCTTTGATTTCTGACATCTGATTTGTTGTTTGGCCCACTGTCCTCCCATAGCTTTTTGAAGACTTTTCTAAACAAAGGAAGCTCACCTGGGCAGTCTATCTTCCCGTGTGCAAAAGTTAAACAAAGATCTCTAAGCTCCCAGATGGAGATGTGAAAAAAGGCAGGCCGGGAATGTTGCTAGGAAGTTCTTGCCTTTGAAATCCGAGAAGTGAAGTTAATTACATTCCCTCAGTATTACCTGTTCTATTCATAAGCGTGTAGTTATTTATTCTCTTAGTACCTTGTACACTTGTGTATGTGTGAAGGAGAAAGCAAGAGAGAGGTATTACCCAACCTGATTCTTAGAGGACCAAGATGGAATGAACTCAAGCTCTATTCCCTGCACAGAGCAAGACAGAAAACAGAAGAATAGGGGGAGGGTGTAGATTTGTTACTCAGCCTGAGGATGGTAAATTCAGAGACAGGCATGTGGAGGCTGGAGTGCTTTCAACTGCAAAATCAGGCCAGATGTGGAATAGTCAGAAAATGTGTATCTTCAGGTTCAAATAAATCCTCACTATCTGTCAAAGGAGAAGCAATATAGGTGATGAGAAGATGGCTGAACAACAGGCCAGGCATTGAGGACAAGCCCTGGGGAGGTCCAGAGCATAGCCATTGAGTGACGGGGTTCTTGGTAGGAAAAGCCTTTCCTAGCGTCCGGAATGAAGCAGGACCCTAGACTTTAAAGACTGGGTGTAAGCAGAGTGTAGGAGCTCTAGGATTCAAACTGGATGTATGTTGCAGTCTGAAATTAGGTCCCAGAAATGTCATGCTCTAAAATAATCACAAAGAAGGATTAGGACAATGATACAATAGATAGATCCTTAGACCAAGAACATGTACATTCTAGTTACTAGCTGAGTAATGTAGAACAGGTTACAACAGCCTCTCTGTGCTTCAATTCCTCTCCAGTTAAAAGGAGAAGTTGGTCTAGATAAACCCCCAGATGGCATGGAGATGCTTCAGGGATTTCCTAACCAAAGAGTTACTTATTTTCTCCAGCCATTAACTATTTTAAAACATCTGAAAGACTTGCATATTGCTATCAATTATTTTAAATATTAAGGTTATCTTTAACATTTCGTTTGAATGCAGAACCCTATGGGAAAACATAGTTTGAAAACTACTTGATCTAATACTAGCAGGGTGTGTTTCAGTGATAGGAATATAAGGACTGAGATGATCTATTCTAGCAAATAATCCTAGGTGGTAAGTGTTCTGTAATTTTTGTTGCTATCACTTAAGAGGATCTTGGGAGTAAAGGGCCTTAAGTACTGTTGGTAAAGGACATAATACAATATTTATATTTCTGATCACATGTATTTATTATTGCATTTCATATGTACATACTATATATCATAATGAACATTTTGAAAAAAGAGATAAGGAAGAATATGGATACACAAATATACATTTATACATGTATGTATGTATAAGTGTGTGTGTGTATCTAGCTTTTCAACAAACTTAGGGCCATGGTTTGTAGTCAAGAGTGAGTTAGCATGGTCTAGTAGGAGTGTTAAAATTACAAAAGTAATCAAATTACAAGATAACATAAACATGTCATAAAACAGTTTAGTATAATCTATTACAGAAGTTCAGCAGAGAATGAAATCACTTTTAACCGGGTGAGAGTTTCAGAATTAAGAAGCAGTAGGAGGTAGGTTAGGCTATCTAGATTTAGAGAGACTGATATAAGAAAAAAGACACTTACAGCCAGGACAGAGGACAGGTATGGCAATGGAAGTAAGTGGAACATGCGAAAGTTAACCACCTCCACACATTTATCCTTACAATCTATTCTTCTACTTTCTCTGCCTCATCATGAATTTCATATACAGTTAAGATAGCGGTAATTTTTCTACTGGCTCCATAATACCTATTTTGTCCTTCCTAAGACCTTGTTCACAGGGATTGTGAAGGAGTGAGGCTTCATGGTGTTCACAGGAAAGCTGTCATCGCTGTTAACATGGTGCACCCTGTTTGCAGATCTCATTTGAAGCAAGGAGCATTTAAAAAAAATCAGGATAGGAGCTTTAAACGCTGTCTCTATATTTCCAATCCTGTTTGAATAAGAGAACAGAAGAAAACGATTTTTCTCTTCCAAAAAGATGGCAGACATGGAGGGCATCATTTTTCATAGCCAGTCAGCATTTATAGATGATATTGAAAAGAAAAGCCTCCTGTGTAAGTCATATATAAACTTCCATAAACAGAATGGCCTCTGAGCAAATCTCCAATTAAAGATTGAGACTTCCCAATACAGTTTCTGTAGTAAGATGCAGCATAGATTTTGCTGGCATAAAAAGAAAACACACAGAAGAAAAAAAACCACTTGGACTCAAGTTATTGCCAATTATTGAGTAATTGAATCAAATGATTGCCAGTTTCTTCCCAAGGAGGAACTGGAACTGTGATAAAAACCTGCTCTACGCTCATTGTACATTAGTTGTTTAGCCAAGATGTGGCTATGCTGGAGGGACCCCTCTGTTCTCAACCCATCCATTGAAGCCCAGGTCCATACTGTCATGATTCGCCTAGGCAAATAGACTAGACTTGCCTAGGTCAAAAAAAGGAAAATCAATTTCCTAAGACTTTACAGAGAGCGGAATACTCCACTGAAGACAGTATGGGGAAAGGAGAGGAGGGTTACATTAGACATTATGTCTAAAAACTTAATAAAAATCTCTGTTAGAAAAGAGAGACTGGGAGGGGTGAGTGGGGAGGACAAAGAGAAGTGAGTTAAAGGGTACAAACATACAATTGAATGTTTGATAACAGAACAGGGTGACTATAGTTAAAAAAGTATATTGTGCTTGGGATATGGACACCGTAAATACCCTGCTTTGATCACTGTGCATTATATACTTTAACACAATTTTACATATACCCCATAAATTTGTGCAAAAAAACCCCTTCCTTCCTTTAGTTATGCCTATTCTTCTTCTGCAGTCACATCTGTTCTGCCCCAGCTACCTCATCTCTGTCTCAACCCTTTCCCCAATTGCTCCTGAGGCCTCACTGACTCTGCCTCGGTAGGTTTCTATTCCAGCAACCATCTCTTCTTTTTATCTACCTTCTTTCTTATCTAGATCTGGCTAAACTCTCTTATTTTCAGTAGCCAACCTCTTTTGAAGGTGCCAGACATTGCAAATTACTAATTTTCGTAGGTAGAAATTTTAAATTTTCCATATGTATACTAAGGGTTAATGTTTATTTTCAAGATGCCTGCTTAGTGATTCTCAAAAAATCGTTCACACTCTCTTCAAAGAGGGAAGCTTGAGTGACATAGCCCCTTCAGATACTGTTAACACTGAGGGTGAATCTTAGCTAGCTCTTACAGTCAAGATCTTGACACCACAGACGTTGACCAAACCAGGTAAAAGACGACCCATTCCATTTCCCAAACACTTTAATTTTATTGCAACATGACACATTCCAGAGATAAAATTGGAAAGGCGGACTAGGCAGAAATTAAAGTGCTTAAATTCCAGACAAGGGAAGCCCCTAAGGGTTTCTAGTGGAGGGGTGGCTTATTCTGAGCTGTGCTTCAAAAAGTCCCGGGGAGGCTATCTGGAAGTAGAAGGTGAGGAAAGAGAGGCTAAAACTAGAGAATCCAGTTAGGAAAACTATAGTAATATTTCTTTTCTTTTTTTTTTATTTTTTTTATTTTTTGAGACGGAGTTTCGCTCTTGTTACCCAGGCTGGAGTGCAATGGCGTGATCTCGGCTCACCACAACCTCCGCCTCCTGGGTTCAGGCAATTCTCCTGCCTCAGCCTCCTGAGTAGCTGGGATTACCGGCACGCGCCACCATGCCCAGCTGATTTTTTGTATTTTTAGTAGAGACGGGGTTTCACCATGTTGACCAGGATGGTCTCGATCTCTTGACCTCGTGATCCACCCGCCTCGGCCTCCCGAAATGCTGGTATTATAGGCGTGAGCCACCATGCCCGACCCTCCATTTATTTCTTAATTGCCATGTAACATTTTAAGGTCATTTAGTATCTGTTCTTCAGTTTCCTATTTATGAAAGGAAGATAACACTTATTCTAAAGTGTTATTTTGAGAATTGAATTATCAGTAGAAGAGAGGACAGTAGAAAAATAATTGAAGTGTTATAAGAATATAAAGGGATAAAAGGTCAACTTTGCAAACAGAGGTTGTTTGTCCTTGTGTTTCTAAGGGGGTCATACATGGCGGTGCTGAAAAGACAAAAGACATTTAACTTATATAAAATGTATGTCCCTGATATTGTGGGGCTTTGTAAAATGTTGGGAAACACTGGTATTAGATGTATAATATTTCTTGGATAAAAATTATAATTGCATATAAATTGGTAACTCCGTAAAAGTTTTCTTGAGTGGTTGGAAAAATGTCCACTTGAGGTGAGTCAAATCAGAAGTTCTCAGTTTGGGGTAAGTTGTCCTCTGCTCATCATAAAAACAATTCTCTTTGCTACTTAATAATCTCAGTGTGCTTTTCCAGCACTTATGCCATACTTCAGCCTTGCTTGAAAATTTGTACTGTTGCTACCACTGATGTATCTGTTCTAGAAAGTAACAGGTTTTCGTTTCCGGGACTGTCAAATCAGAAGTTTTCCCGAGAACACAAAGATTCACTCTATTACTGCACATCATAGAACTCATGCCTGTAGCTTGAAAATAGAAGTCTTTGGTGTAGGCATTTGCTTGTTTGACAGTTCTGTTCTAAATTTTGAAACTAGTAGTACTGTAAAGTGCCTGTCTGACAATGGTGTACCAGAGCTTAGTAATATAAAATAATTATTGTTCATGGTTCCTTAGCTGAAGTCAATAGCTCCCTGCAAAACACAACATAATGCAGAGATCTAAAGTTACTAAATGGAAACAGAGAAAAAGAAGAATTTTAAACAGATTTAAAAGAAACAACTAGATTCTACAAGATTTACCAAGTGATGTCGTGCAGCACATGGAAGGCTATGATCATTCTAAAAGAAACTCCATGATAGTGATGATAACTTTTATTAATCAATTCTGGTAATTGTTGTCAGGAAGCTTATGTGATGTCAAAAGAATGAAAGCAATTATGGAGATATTAGCAAATAGTGTATAATGTTTGTTTTCTTAACTTGAAACCATATTTTTCAGGTTTGCTTCTGCGAATTTAGTGTTTAAAGCCAGCAATACATCACCTGTACTAAAGGGATTGATTAAGTTAACTTAAATGTAGAGCTGCCGTTTTGGAACTAGAGTGGCAGGATGCCCTCCCTGAACCTTTGGTACATGAATCAGTGTAATGTTATATCTTGGAAAAGTCAATATGAATCCAGCAGATAAATAATTTAGTCTCCATGTTGCCTGAAACATTTGCCAGGGAATTCTGGGAAGATTGCTGTTTGACCACTTGAATGAAAAGGATAATCTCCTTCTTAATCCTTGGTACACAATTGCATTTAAGACTATCCCCCTTCTGGGAAAAACAAGGAAACAAACAAAAAAATTGCTTGTTCCCCTAGAAGAGACAAAAACACAGAAATAAAGTAGAATTTCACAGACTCAATTATGACATACAGTATTTACCTACATTTACCTTTAACACTTTCAATCTAATATCAAGGTGGAACTATTTGTGATAGTTACATAATTATCGTCTTATTCTTTTATTGTCAACTTCAATGAAGTTTATAATTTTTTGATTTTTAAATATGTTACTTTTTTACTGATACCTAATAAAAGTACATGTTTTTTGGGGTACATGTGATTATTGAATACATTCATTAATTTATAAAGATGAAATCAGTTTGGATGCCCTTTCTTTCTTTCTCTTGCCTAATTGCTATGGTCAGAGCTCCTGGTACTATGTTGAATAAAAATGGTGATAGTGGACCTCGTCATCTTGTTCCAGATCTTAAAGGAAACAGTTTCAATTTCTTCCTGCTCAGTGTGATTTTATCTGTGGGCTTATCAAACATGGGCTTTATTATTTTGAGGTATGTTTCTTCTTTACCCCATTTGTTGAGGGGGTTTGTTTTGTTTTGCTTTTTAGAGGTGGGGGTCTCACCATATTTCCCAGGCTGGTGCTTTGAACCCCTTGCTCCTCATGCCTCAGCCTCCTGAGTAGTTGCGACTATAGGCATATGCCATCACACACCTGGCTAAGATTTTTTTCTTAGCATAAAGGAATGTTGAGTTTTATTGAATGCTTTTCCAGCATCTATTAAAATGATCACATTTTTTATTCTTGGCCCTATTAATGTAATGCATCATGTTTATTGACTTGTGTATGTTGAACCATTCTTACATCAGTGATATTGGCCTGTAGTTTCCTTTTCTTGTGTCTTTGTCTGCTTTTGGTATCAGGGAAATCCTGGCCTCATGAAATTAGTTTGAAAGTATTTCCTCTTGTTATTTATTTTTGAAGAGTTTGAGTAGAATTGGTTCTTCTTTAAATTTTCAGGTAGAAGTCAGCAGTGAAGCCATTTGGTCTTGGGTTTCCCTTTGAAGGGAGACTTTTTATTATAGCATCAACCTTGTTACTTGTTTTGGGTTGTTGAAGTTTTCTATTTCTTCATGGCTCAATGGTGATAGGTAGTATGTGTCCAGGAATTTATCTCATTTCTTCTAGATTTTCCAATTTGTTGGCATGTAGTTGTTCATGATAGTCTCTAGTGATTCTTTATATTTCCATAGTCTCAGTTGTTGTGTCTCCTTTTACTTTCTTTCTTTCTTCACTTTTCTTTTCTTTTTTTTTTTTTTTAAGACACAGGGCCTCACCTTGTCACCCAGGCTGAAGTACAGTGGCACAATCATAGCTCACTGTAGCCACAAACTCCTGGGTTCCTGTGATATTTCACTAGGTACACTTCACATAGAATCACCACACCTGGCTAAATTTTTATTATTATTATTATTATTATTATTATTTTTGTAGAGATGAGGTCTCCCTAATTGCCCACGCTGGTCTTGAACTCTTAGCCTCAGGTAATCCTCCCACTTGAGTCTTTCCAGTGTTGGGATTACAGGCATGAGCGACTTGTTTCTTATTTCATTTATTTGTGTCTTCTCTCTTTTTTCTTAGTATAGTTAAAGGTTTGTTGATTTTATCTTCAAAAACCAACTTTTTGTTTTATTGATCTTCTGTGGGTTTTTTTTAGTCTCAATTTCATGAATTTCTGCTCTGATCTTTATGACTTCTTCCCTTCTATACTGAGGTTTGGTTTGTTCTTTCTTTTCTAGTTCCTTGAGGTGCATCATTAAGTTATTTAAAGTCTTTCTACTTTTTTGATATACGTGTTTATTGCTATAAACTTTTTTCTTCATCCTGCTTTTGCTGTGTCTTATAGATTTTGTTATGTTGTATTTCTATTTTCTGCGTTTTAAGAAATTTTTGTTTCCTTCTGAATTTCTTCATTGACCCATTGGTCATCCAGGAACCTGTTGTTTAGGTTTCATGTGTTTGTGTATTTTCTGAGGTTCCTATTACTATTGGTGTCTCGTTTTATTCCACTGTGATCAGAAAAGATACTAGGAATAATTTCTACTTATTTGAATTTGTTGAGACTTGTTTTGTGGCCCCAAAATTGGTCTACTCTAGAGAACTCACATGCTGATGAAAAGACTGTGTCCTTTGCAGCAGTTGGGTGGAATATTCTGTAAATGTCAGTTAGGCCTATTTAGTCTAGAGTATAGTTTAACTTGGATGCTTCTTTGTCGATTTTCTGTCTGGATGATCTGTTCATTAATGACAGTCAGGTGCTGAAGTCCCTACTATTATTGTATTGCAGTCTATCTCTCCATTTATGTCTATTAACATTTGCTTTATACTTAGGAGTGCCAGTGTTGGGTGCATAGATATTTACAATTGTTTTCTCTTGCTGAATTGACCCCTTCATCATTATACAGTGGCCTCTTTGTCTCTTTTTATGGTTTTTAATTTGTAGTCTATTTTATCTGATATAAGTATAGTTCTTCTTTTTTTGGTTTCTAGCTACATGGAATATTTTTTTTCCACTCTCACTTTCAGCCTGTGTGTATCTTTATAGGTGAAGTGGGAAACTCATGCATTTTTAACAATGAATTTTTTATTGAGATATAATTTATATATAGTGAAATGCACAAGTTGTAAATGTATAGGCCGAGTTTTAACAGATGTATACTCCCATGTAACCAATACCCTGAAAGTTCTTTTATGCTTCGCCAAGGTCTGAATGTTTGTGTCCTTCCAAAATGCATGTTGAAACTTAATCCCCATTGTGATGGTGTTAGGAAATGGGACCTTTTGGGGAGTGATTAAGTCATGAAGGTGGAGGTCTCATGAATGGGATTAATATCTTTATAAAAGAGGTTGAAGGGAGCTGCCTTGCCTCTTCTGTTATGTCAGGAAGCAGCAAGAAGGAGCAATCTTACCAGCAAAGAGCAGCCCTGGCACACACCACATCTGCTGGTGCCTTGATCTTGGACTTCCCAGCCTGCTGAACTGGGAGAAATACATTTCTGTTATTTATAACTTACCCAGTCTAGGTATTTTGTTACAGCTCACCTGAGCAAACTAAGCCATGCACCTTTCCAGCTAATCACTGCCCCCATCCATTAGAAACAACCTCTATTATCATTTTGATGATTATACATTAGTTTTGTTTATTTTTTAATTTCATGTGAATGAAATCATAGTCTTTTGCATCTGGTTTCTTTTGCTCGGTGTAATATTGAGCTTTAGTTAGATATTTTTGTGTGTATCAGTAGTTTATTACTCTTTTATGTGATGTAGTTAGCATTTCCTTGTATGAATATACAGCAACTTGTCTTTGCACCCTTCTGTGGATGGACATTATGATTTTCCCAGTTTTCCGTAAGTATGAATAAAATTATAAAAATCATTCTTTAGCAATCATTTTGGTGGCCATATGCTTTCATTTCTCTTGAGTGAATGCTGTATTTAGAAGCAGAATTGTTGGAATATAAAACAGTTCTCTGTTTATTTCATAAGAGACTATGAAACAGTTTTACTATTTGCTTCCATTTTATACTCTCACTGGCAATGTATGAGAGTTCCATTTGTTCCACAGCTTGCCAATATTTGATTTTGTCTTTAATTCTTATCTTTGCTATTTTTGGGAAGAAGCAAATCATTGTGGTTTTCTTACCTTTGCTATTTTTGGGAAGAAGCAAATCATTGTGGTTTTGATCTGCCTATCTGTGAAGACTAATGACATTAAATACCTTTTCATGTGCTTAGTCATTCCTATATCTTCTTTTGTGTTTGTTCATATAATTTTGAATATTTTCTATTTTTAATTTCCTACTTTTGTCTCCTTATTGTCATAGGTGTTCTTTTGCATACAAGTTCTTTATCAGATAGATATATGGTATTGAGAATATTTTCTCTCAGTCTGTGACTTGCCTATTATTTTCCTAATGATGTCTTTTAATGAAGTTCAATTTACCAATTTTTTGTTTTATAGATGATTTTTTGGTGTCCTGTCTAAAACATCTTTACCTACCCCAAGGTCATGAAGATAACCCATGTTTTTTTTCCAGAGGCTTTATAGTATTAGCCTTGAGGTATATGATTCAGCTTGAATTAATTTCTGTGTATGGTGTCAGTTAAGGGTCAAAGTTCATTTTTTTCCCATGTGGCTATTCAGTGGTTCCAGCCCCTTTTGTTGAAAGCTTTCCTTTATTCATTGAATTGTCTTGGCACCTTTGTCGAAAATCAATTGACCAATTAAGTGTAGTTCTATTCCTGGATTCTATTCTATTCTTTTGACCTACTTGTCTATCCTTATACCCTTACCATACTCTCTTGATTAGCTTCAAGAATTTTTATCATTTTTTAGTTCTGTTCCTTTCATCATGGCTACTTTTGCCTCTTGCTGTTATTAGATTAAGAGTTTATTTAGAAGTTAGCACAGTTTTCAAGCTGCTGTGTATCTCAGAGTGTCTATCTAAAAAAACAGGAAAAATAAGAACTCCCTTATAGGGTTATTAGGAGAAATAAACAATCTAGTATACATGTTTAAAGTGTATTATAATTCTAAAATAACACTTAAGTGTTTAGAATGTTGCTTATTTTTATTTCACTTTTTGCTCTCTTGACCTTAAAATGTATTATTATGTATGTTCACTGAAATCTCCCAGTAGGGTCTGCATTCTAAGTTTCAGATTGTGGCAGGGTACCTGTTCTGTGAATTTAGGGAAAAACAAAGGTCCAATATAATTGAGAGGAGTGATAGGCACCTGTTTTCTTCCTATTTACAGTATGCCTTAACACAGGGTGATGGCAATTCTTTTTGACATTTTTCCTTTGTCTGTTTTTAAAAGACAAAGTAATACTGGACTTGCAATCCTTTGCTCTTCCAGATATTTCTAATTTGATACCTTGAACATGCTGCTTTTTTTTTCTTTATTGTGGTAACTCCTTTTATTGGTGAATAACCTTTGCTCTCCCCACCCCAAATCAATGACCTTTTAAACTGTTTTAATATTTACTAGGGTATTATTTGTCCTGACGCTTGGATTGAGTTTCTCTAAAAGATGATATTCTAGAATTTAAATGGTGGTGAGAGGAAGGGTTGAAAATCTGAATCCTTTCTTTCACCCAGACAAAACTAAGCTGAGTAACAACCCTTTCTCTCCCTCAATCATCTAACAGCCTATAACAAAGGTGAATAAAAAGTGTCAATTATTTTACAACTTTTACCTGTTAACACCCTAGTTCACACTCTAATTGTCATTCTTATTTTTAAATGAAAACTTTTCTTCCACAAGTTTAATGCAACTTTTTGCCTTTTTGGACTTTGTGTTTACTAGATTGTAAAATCTTGGAGGACAACTCTTTGATTTTGTTTATCTTAGTTTTAGATTTTAACATCAAACCAAGTACATTGCATTTATTTAATAACTGTTTATTCAATTAAATCAAGTGCTAATATTCTACCCAATACAGTGTTATATATATATATTATTGCCTCATATATAATGTATATATGTATAAAACAGGCAATAATTATTCATGATTTAGTGATAGTAGAAACTCAGCATTTATTTATTGATCAGTTAAAAGTTTGAACACATTCTATATTTAGAGCATTAGATGAGTCAAGTGCTACTTTCTTTTTAAAAAACATATTAGAATCATTCAACTAGCATTCTGTAGACCAAATTATTTAAATAATAGCTCTCCTCTTCCTTTTTCTGCAATGTTATCCATAAGATTTGGCCTGTGTCACCTTATAACAAAATGAAGAGAGTCTTAAATACTTATAATACCAAACTCCTTTGGAGAGAATTCAGAATACATAGATTTATGTCATCTCAAATGCTATCCTATCCCAGTTAGTGTTACAGACAGATTATAATATACTTTACAAAGATAGCCGAATAAGTAGAGTTTTGAAAAGATACAGACATAAAAATGAAGAACAGATGCCTTCTAATGCTAAATTTCCCAAAAACTCCTACTGTTATGCTTATATAGAAATCATTCTCAGACCTTCCTTAGATTAATTTCTGTTCCCAGAGCAAGCTGGTAGTTATTTTCTTCTTTAATAGAACATGAACTTGTCCATCAAATCCTAGAAAGTTAGTCCTAGGGATAGCCCTTAAAGCCTAAAGGAGTAAATTAAGAGCAAAGAAAGGAAGTAGACATCGCAACAGGTGATGCATGTCAGATATAGCAGTAGGAGAGAAATAATAGAGATTGAAAACATAACCTTAACAAACTCATGCAAGGTAGATCCATAAATATTGTGGGAATTGTGGAGACTAGGAAGCTTGGAAATATCCCTAATCTAGACGGTAGAGTAAGTATCTACGGCTTCCCAAAGCATTCCTCTAAACCTCCCTGTAAAAAAACACACTAAGCTGCTTGTGTAACGAACGGATCCAGCACAATTGCCTCCAGGGTCATTCTGGACCCTGAACGGGAGGGGACATCGTGACAAAGCAAGTTGTCTGGTGTCATGAATTTGGAACACCATTAAGTGATCTCCACTGAAGGTTACATTCCGCCACGATCAGCCTTTTGAGGAGGCCTCGCCACCAGCGCAGGGGAGGGGAAGCCTAACGGAAGGTAATTTTGTCAGTGCCTGCTAATTAGTTTTACCCTGGAGACTTTAACTTTCTACAAAGTTTTTTAAAAGTACTTTCGAAATTCAGCGTGATCTTTTTCACCGTTTTCAGGTAACTAAAAGTTAACCGCCTTCCCTTTCCTTCCCCTCGCCAATTCTGAAATATTCGAGGATTCAGAGTTCCTAGACCAAGGGATCCCGCTCTTAGGGGAATTGGCATTTCGGGAACCAGTGCTTCCAAAGGCGCCGAATAGAAGGGCTCGAAGGGAATCAGCAGGCGACGGTTACCCTGGGCGGGAACTCGGGTGATTTAGAGGAGGGGTTTGGGGAGGTTGGGACCGGGCTTTAAGAGTGGGAGGGCTAATTAATAGATTAGCCGGAGAGGGGCGGCGCCTGCGTCCGGCCCGCGCGGTGACAGTCCCCGCAGTGCGCGCGCGACCCGGCGGCGGGACAGGCTTCCTCCTCCTCGGCCTCTCCGTGCGTACCGGGAGGGGAGAAGGGGGCGGCGGGCGGGGAGGGCCGGGGCGGGTGGGAGGTGGAGGACGCGGGGGGTCTCTGCCAGCCGAAAGTCCTTGGCTCCACTTAGCAGCTGAACGTTAGCGTTTCAATCGATCGCTTTTGAAAGGGAATTGTGTTTCTGTCCCCGTGTGGGTAAGTTTTCCCGTTTCTCAAACTCCAAGGATGAAACCAGAAAGTCTTTTCATGCTGGAGTGATGATTTCCCAACTTTTTCTTTTCAAGCCAAAGTAGCCTCCTCTTTGAAAGGGTCCCTTGCACTTTGGGGAAGGAGGAACAGGCACGTGCAAGTTGTAGTAATGGAGGAAATGCCTGTAGTTTAGGCGACTTCTGTTCTCCCCAAGAGTGCAAAAGCCTGCGGTATCTCAGATTTCATGGGCGTAATGGCCTTTATGCCTATTGCAAGACAGGATTTGCTCCTCCGGGTTCACTTTGATAGGAGAAACATCAGCAAGTTTTTAAAATAATACTAAATAACAATACTAATAATAATGTTAGCTATTGCTACAAGAGCATGTGGGTTAGATTATGATATTATTGTGTGATATTATAGCCAGTGACATGGGAGCTAAGGGTGAACCACTTGGGAGAGTTCCCACCTGTGCCCCACCCCCAATCTGGAGGAGGAAGCCATGTGGAAGGAGAAAAGGAGAAGGGAGCTCTTTTGGGGGGAATTAAGGTCTCAGTTATTGCCTAGCTGGCCTGGGACAGCAGACAGAGGAGTGCATGTAAATTTTCTAGTTTCTCTGCTTCTCTTGAAATGTGGCAGTCTGAGCTCCACGTTTATTTTTTCCTATTTCCTTTCCCTGCTTTCTTTCAGAGTGAGTGCTGAGTGGGTGCCCAGCAAACTTTGGTGTATTGCACCCAGGCTTCCAACTAGCAATCATCAAAGCCCCATTTTCTTGGGGTCCCAACCTCCTGTGAATCCCAGCCCAGACCCACCTTTTGCATATCTCTCCTTGGCATTAGGGTAGCACTGGCCTTTGTTGTCCTCTCCTGTTTCCAAAATAAGAGGACTGTGTATGCTGATTATCTTTGGTCATTTACAAAAAAATGCAAATCAGTCCAAATTTGAATATTACTCTCTGTGGCAGATAAGTCAAATTTTTTCTTTTCATTTCTTTTTTTTGTTTTTTTTTTTTTTTTGAGATGGAGTCTTGCTCTGTCGCCAGGCGACAGGCTGGAGTGCAGTGGCGCAATCTCGGCTCACTGCAACCTCCACCTCCTGGGTTCAAGCAATTCTCCTGCCTCAGCTTCCCGAGTAGCTGGGACCACAGGTGTGTGCCACCACGCACAGCTAATTTTTCTATTTTAGGAGAGACAGGTTTCACCGTGTTGGCCAGGATGGTTTCGATCTCTTGACTTTATGATCTGCCCGCCTCGGCCTCCCAAAGTGCTGGGATTACAGACATGAGCCACCGCGCCCAGTCACAAGTAAAATTTTTCTAAGGGTTTGTGTTAGAGTGGTGTTTAATAATCCCTGAGATTGGAAAAGGAGGTCAGCACAGTTTCGTGAGGAAGGCCTTACCCCACTACTCCCCCAAGAGGCACCAGCATTTCACCGTAGTCCCTGGGCTCTGAACCCCACTTTGCATGAGACCACATAGGGGGCTGAGTCCGCAGCCACCACAATGCCTTCAGGATATGCTAGAATTAATCTAGAGTTCCAGATTACCATGGCCACCAAATTGTGTTTTTTCTTTATCTCATGTGTAGTGTTTGTTAGTTTCAGAAGGTACAAAATTGCAGAGTCATGGTCCTGGGGATGTGTTTCCAGATTTTTCATGTGTTTTGCAATACTGGCATAGAAAGACCGGCCACCTCATCCTGAGAAGAGAACTTTGCTCATTTTGGCCAAAAGCCTATAAAGGGAAAGGATGTTCCTCAACTGAGAAGTGAAGATTCTTCTCTGATAAATAGTACAGGGGTTTTAGCGGTGAACAAAACAGGAATGGGATTTGACAAGGAACGGCCTCCAGAAGACCAGGGCTGTAGAGAACTCAACCTTGGCGGTGGGGATCCCACACGTTACACACGTGAGAAAAGCCCCAAGTTGCTGTCTCGGCCTCTCCACTGTGACTTTGGGTTATGTTACTCACTACCTTTCTGGGACTCAATTTCCTTATACACTAAAGGTAGAAAAAAATATTATTTGCTCTGACTACCTTGGAGTTTTTCAGGTCATGAGAGAGAAAATATGCAAACGCTTTTGGAAAAATTCTAAAGCCCTCAGTATCTAGAACAGCGCCAAAGTCGGAGCTTTTTTATTTACCAAACACTTACGCAGCATTTAACGGGTTTCTAACTTTATCCAGTTAATTTTATTCTCACAAAAATCCGCTGAAATAGGAGTTCTTATCCATCTCGTTTAATAGCTACGGTGAAGAGATCCCAGAGACGTTAAGTCACAGTTATGAAGTGGCAGGGTCAAGATCCACCCAAATGCTAATCTAGTTCCAGAGTTTTGAATACTTGACACTCTACCTTGTGTCCTCTTATGAGGAAGTCACCTCCACATTAGAGGACAGAGCTCTGGTCTGTGGCAGGAGAGATATTCAGAATATTGTTGGATCGAGGTATTCATTACCATGCTGGCCAATGAATGGAGAATATAATGAGCAAACAAACCACTGTGCAGATATGATTCATCATTGTAAATATTTCCTATAATTTGTAACCAAATTCGTGTTTCTCCCTTCTTACTTTTCTTAGATTATTTCTCCTTCATTTCTTGAATACTCAAACCACCTAACCTTTCACCCTGTTATTTATTATGATACTGGACCACTCTTCTCCCTCCTGGCAAGCTTTCCTGGTAAAAGGCTTTCAGTCATTTTGTTTTGACTGCAGAGCCAACCGTGATAATGGTTCCAGTTTTGTGCAGCAGACTCATGGCAATTTATTGATAAATCAGTTTTGAGGGAAGAAAAGGTTTACACCAGCATTGCCTTAATCCGTACTGTAAAAGACTACTATTTCTTAATGTTCTTACCTTTACTGCTCATTACCTGACACTCGAGTACCTGTGAAGTGGAGAGGAGACGTGACCCATTGACCCATCATTGGGTGTGTGTCAGAGGCTCCGTGCTGGCCTGTCTCCCAAAACCACAGACATGAGGAGTTAAGCCACATTGTGATTGAGAAACTCTGTGTGAAGTGCACTGTGTGTTGTTCATTTTTAAAGAAAAGGCCTCCCGTTGCCCTTTTCCCCAACCACTGACTTCTTTGTGTACTTTCCCACCAGCAGTCCTGGGAGGCTGCCATTTTTTCTCTGCTCTTTCAACACTGATTTTCACTAAGGGGAAAAAAGAGTTCTCTGGACTTTTTTTGTTCCATCACTAAATAAATTTCATTCTGGAAACATTAGTAGAGGCCTAAGGTTTTAGTTTTAAAATTATCATTAAGTAGCAACTTTCGACTTAATGAACTTACCATAATTTTAAAAAAAACTTCACATACTTGCTGAATTTCTTCAGATCTCTGTATAGAGGCCTGGGATTTAGGGATCCTTTATTAAGCTAATTAACTTACCTACACTCAGTGCAGTTTGTTCATGACTTCCACTCCTTCAATACTAGAACAAAAGCACACACATTAAATGTTACAAAAGTATTATCTTGCACTGAGAGCTAACCTAACATACTGTGCTTTCTAGACCACAGACTTGTGCAGATGGATTAATTTGCTATCATAGGGGATTTTTTTTAAAAAAAAACCTTGCACATGTAGTTTCTGTTTGCTTAAATCCAAGCTGTACATTTTTAGTCTAAGAAAACAAAAATAGGGGTTACTTAGGTAGCTTTGATTTCTGTATCTGCAAAATGGGAATGATAATACCTACCTCACAACATAATTGGAAGAGGAAAGAAGATGACAGACATAAGGAGTGTCTAGTTGTACCAGCCACAGAGTAGACATTCACTTCATGTCAGTCGAATTAGAATTAAGCGGAATTAAAGAGTCGAGAGCAGAATTAAGCAAGTCTCTGGAAAGAGGGAGTATAGTGTGGTGAGTGTCAGGGATGTTCATGTCCCAGCTTGGCAGGTTCACATCTCTAATTCCCCTTTTCTTCTTTTGTGAAATGGATATAGCTATGACAATTGTAATAGATTAACAAAGGTGATGGAATTAGTACATAGCATAGTTGGACACATAGCAAACTGTAATAAAGCTAAATATATGTGTATGTGGTTTTTATCACATTCAGCAGCAATGCAGAGACAGCTATATGACCAATAGTGATACATATAAATGTGTAGATTACAGGGAAGATGGATAGAAAGATTGGAGCTGATAGATGTCAGGCTAATAAGGACACATGCCAGGGTTGAGCTTTAAAAGCGGGAGCAGTCATCATCTAGAAGAGGTAGTACTACATGCTAAGCAGGATAAACAGCATCTAAGCTTGGGTCTGAGAAAAGATACGTGTTTCTGGGGAAGAGATAGAAGTAGGTAGTAGGACTGATAAAAGAACAAGAGGAGGTTACAAGAATAACTGTCAGAGGACTGGAAATTTACATTTTAAGCTTTACCCTAAATTCCTACCTGTTTTGACTTCAGTATCGCCAGCGTGTCTTAGCTTTCCTCTTCAGCACATTCCCAGCTATGCTCCCAGCTCCAAGTGTAGACAGCTACATTCCTCTACTGAACAGCTTCTATCTGGTGTAACTTCAGAATGTGAAATGACCTGAGGATCATGTAAAACTAATTCTCCTTCCCTATTACACCCATGAACCATAAATAGTAATTCCATACCATAAATGGAATTCCTTAATTCCTGTTTTTTGATGTTTCCATTATCCTGCTTTTCTTTAGCCTGTCTTGGAATTGATGATGCCAGTGATCATGACGATGATCATGATAAAGACATCGTACACTTTATTGAGGGATTTTCTTGGACCGGTTCATATTTTATCTCAATTACATTAGACAACAATCCATTAAGTTAGAAACTATTACTATGTCTATTTTAAGAATGAAGAAAGATTTAGTCTCAGAGACTAAATCTCTCAAGCAAAGTTAATAGCTAAATGGTGGCACTGGAATTCATGTCCTGTGGCCTACGATTTTGAATACTACTAAAATGACAAAAAGTTGTAAGTTGGGTCTCCAAAGAAGAATACTTAAGAACTTAGGCCTTCCTGATAAAACATCAGTGTTGCTACTAGGTACATAGTTTGATGTTTCCAGAGAGATCAGTCTATGACCTCTGGCCTTTTGATTTCAACCTATATATAGTCCATCTCAATGCAAGTATGTGATTTTAGTCTTTGTTTAGAGAATTTTAGCTCTTTATTTTTGCTTGTACTGCACCTTTTTTAAATTAGTACTTGTTTGATGTCTTCAAGCTTAATGATATAAAACTAGATAAAATATAATGATGTTTACCTTTTTTCTTTTGAGATGGAGTCTCGCTCTATTGCCCAGGCTGGAGTGCAGTGGCAGTATCTCGGCTTATTGCAACCTCTGCCTCCTGAGTTCAAGCAATTCCCCTGCCTCAGTCTCCTGAGTAGCTGGGATTACAGGCACATGCCACCATGGCTGGCTAATCTTTGTATTTTTAGTAGAGATGGGGTTTCACCATGTTGGCCAGGCTGGTCTCGAACTCCTGACCTCAAGTGATCCCCCTGCCTCGGCCTCCCAAAGTGCTGGGATTATAGGCTTGAGCCACTGCACTCAGCCCCTATTTACTTTGACATTTTAATAACTAAATAATCATTTATTCTGCAAATAGTCCAAGATATTTTTAAGAACAGTATAGTTAATGCTGCAATATAAGAACATCAAATGATCTTCCAGTTATTTTGTGTACTTATGTCTGCTTTTTCTTATCTTATTAAATCTTTTTAAGATTCTAGACCAAAATTGAAACAATGGGTGACCTTACTCAGCTAATGGACAATGAAGTATTCAGGGCTTTTGCGTCCTATGCGGCAATTATTCTTTCAAAGATGATGCTTATGAGCACTGCAACTGCCTTCTATAGAATGACAAGAAAGGTAAGAAATTTGGAGGTAATATTTTCTTACTTTTAAGAGTTGAAATTCTGGAAAGGAGTTTTCTTAGTTTTCTTTTTTTTTTTTTTATTTTTGGTAAAGCGCAATAGCACACTGTTTTACGCTGTAAGTGAAGGATGTAATCGTTTGGCACAGATGGAGCTGATATATTTATGGAACAGTTCCTTCTCCTGGAAACGAGTAAATGGTTTTTTCATTATGGCTTTTACCTTTTGTCATTCTGCTAAGCAGATGAGATATTCTGGAATATCAAAGTTTTCAAGGAAACTTTCATTTTGGAATTAATTTTGCCAAAGGGGGTTTAGAAAATAATTGTTTTACAGTTAACTGGTATTTTCGGCTCTGGTACAGGTCAAGGGTATGATTTTGATTTAAAAAAAAAAAAAAGAAAGAAAAAGAAAAAAAGGCTGAGAATTAAAGTTCTTACTTTCAAGGTAGATCCTCATCTGATTGGGATGATCATTTGAATTTTGTGTACTTCTGACTTCTTTCATGGATACTATTTCTACCCAGTATTATCAGAATGATTTTTTTTAAAAGGGCAGATGTGGAGAAAGTGGTAGACAGATTCTGAAGCATACATTCTGTATTCAGGTGGGGCTTATCCCTGCTGGAAGGGGTAGAGCAAGGCTCCCTTCACAAAGGTAAAATATTTTCACCAGTGTAGTCCTTGTGCCCGTTCCGCAACTTCGTCCTCGAGATCATCCGTTTCTCTTTTAGGACCTGTCCTGAGTTTTGTCCTCTAGAGCATTGATTTTATGCGGAGGCCACAGTCTTCCCTAAGGCGTTTCCTTGTTAGTATCTTTTTTTTTTTTCTCAAGACAGTCCCGCTCTTACCCTTACCCAGGCTGGACTGCAGTGGCAGGGTCTTGGCTCACTGCAACCTCCGCCTCCCTGGTTCAAGGGATTCTCTTGCCTCAGCCTCCCGAGTAGTTGAGATTATAGGCATACACCACCAGACCCAGCTAATTTTTGTATTTTCAGTAGAGATTGGGTTTTGCCATGTTGGCCAGGCTGGTTTAGAACTCCTGACTTCAGGTGATCCATCCACCTCGGCCTCCTCAAGTGCTGGAATTACAGGCATGAGCCTGGCCAACTGTCTTGAGGTATAATGGAAGGATATTTGCATTTTCATGGAGGACACATCCCCACATGGTTAAGTCTCTCATGCGCTGATGTGTTGCAAGTATCAGGCAACAAAGTGGCTGTCTACCCCCCAGATCCACGCTGACTTCTAGAAACAGAATGTCACCAAGGAAATGGACCCTGTCTTATAAGAAAAGAAGAAGGGAATTCAAATTTGTAGAGTGCCAGGAGCCAGAATGCTTTTTATGTGTGCTTGATCATGGAGTCATTTTACACAATTGTTAGCATTGTCAGGTGAAATGAGGATTCATCTTTCCATTTTATATAGAAGGGGAACTGAAAGAGAGGTTAAATAGCTGTCTGAGTCCGTTTCGGCTGCTCTTACAAAATACCATAGACTGGGCGGCTTAAGTAACAAACGTTTTTCTCACAGTTCTGGAGTTTGGTAAGTCCAAAATCAAGATACCAGCAGATCTGGTGTTCAGTGAGGGCCCCATCCCTGACTTGCAAATGGCCATCTTCTCATAGTATCCTCATATTGGCAGAGCAGATTGAGAGAGAGAGAGAAGGAAGCAAGCTCTCTCTTTCCTCTTCTTGTGAGGACCCGAATCCCATTCATGAGGGCTCCACTCTCTGACCTGATTACCTTCCAAAGGCCTCACGTCCCAGAGACTATCACATTGAAGATTAGGCTTTAACATACAAATTTTGGGGGACCACAAACATTCAGTCCATAGCAATAGCTTACCCAAGGTTACATACAAATAAAGGGTGAAACTGGGATTCAAACTGAAATTGCATTAAACCCAGTCTCATGCTCTTTCCATTGTAAATACACCATTTATTTCTTTATTCAACATATATTTATTGTACATCCAGTGTGTGCCAGGCACTTATTTAGGGGAACATTATGATGAACAAGACAGAGAGGCCTGACCTTAAGAACTTTATCTGGAATAAATATTCCCAGACCTGCACATCAGTTCTCCTCAACATCTTCATCTCTAATAAATGTTCATATCATATTAAGAAAAAATAGAAAACTTACAAGATTTTTAAGCTTAATTTAAGATGAATTTTGCAGTTTGTATTTTTTCTCTGTCATAAATTATTAAATACTGGCACATGCTTAAATGTTTTTTAAATGCAGATTTCAAGTTTCAAGGGATGGGGAAATTATTTCAAACAGCATAATAATTGCAGGAAGGAATACATGAATGTGTACTTGTTACTCCTAGGAATGTAATTCAGCTTCTCAAATTTCATGATGCAGTAGTCTTCAGCCCAAAGTTTTATCTAGTTTAGAAAAAGAAAAGAGGTACACATGTTCTAACAAAGTGTAAGACACCTTTCCCATCCCTTACTCTTTTATGCTTCTTGTCTGTTCTCTAAAACCTTTGGCTGGTAAATGTATTTATTTCAGTTGGGCCAATCACTTGGAAATGCTAATACACTTGAGAGAAGTTATGTCAACATTACTGTGAAAGAGGTCCCAGTGAACCATAGTGATAGTCCATGATGACTTAGAATTATGTCTCTGCCCATATTTGCTTCCTTTTCACTATTCTTATGCACTGGTTGGTTTTTGTTCAAGTTCTTATTTGTGCTTTCCTTTTTACAACTTTGCATTGTTAATAAAAATTCAGTTTGAACAATAGATGCTTTCTTCTACTCTTAGGTTTGATTTATCACTCCAAATGGGTCAACCTGGATGTCTATATTTCTTCCACTGATAACTTATGAGGTAGAATATCCCCATGTTATTTGTTTGTTTGTTTCATTTTTTTTTTTAAGACAGGCTAGAGTGTAGTGGTGCAATCACAGCTCACTGCAGCCTCAAATTCTTGGGCTCAAGTGATCCTCCCACCTGATCCTCCTGAGTAGCTAGGACCACAGGCATGTGACACGCCACCATGCCCAGCTATTTTAAAAAAAAATCTGTGGAGACAGGGTTTCCCTATGTTACCCAGGCTGGTCTTGAGTTCTTGGGCTGAAGCAATCCTTCTGCCTCAGCCTCCCAAAGTGCTGGAATTACAGGTGTAAGCCATCTCACCCAGCCAGTATTTGAAATAAGTTTTTTATTTTCTTGGTATTTGGAATAGGTTTTTGCCAACCCAGAAGACTGTGCAACATTTGGCAAAGGAGAAAACGCCAAGAAGTATCTTCGAACAGATGACAGAGTAGAACGTGTACGCAGGTAAACCAATGTCTCTTGAAATTACTTACTTGGTCAAATAATTTTGGTCCAGGAGTTCAGTGAAGATGTCTCAGGGTCTTGGAGAATGCAGATAAAAAGTCAGACCTCTTCCTACTCCTAACAATTATAGAAAACTGGACATCTGAAAGTCTCCAGCTATCACTGCAATCACATATATTGGCAATTTTGCCATACAGTACTTTTATCGACACTCTCTTGGGGTTAATGACATTGCTTTATATAGAGATGTATCAACAGTAATGGCAGGGAGGAGTAAAATGGGAACAGTAGATTCTTGTGGTTTTATCATCTTTCTCCACAGGTGAGACTGCCAGCTCATGTAAAAGGTTGAAGAATTAGGCATTTTTGCATAAGATTCAAAATAAGAATGTTGACACTCTGGAGAAATAGGAACCTCTTTTTCTCTGTCCCTCTCGCCACTGCCATCTCTTTTTAGATGTTATGTTTTAATGTATTGGGGATTCAATGAACAATGAAAAGCAATAAGCCAAGATTTGATTGGGGTACTGTTTTTCCCGTCACCCAAGTAGTGAGCATAGTACCCGTTAGCTTTTCAACCTTCGTCTCCCCTTTTCTTCGCCCTCTAATAGTCCCCAGTCTATGTTGTGCTATCTGTGTTTATGTATCCAATGTTTAGCTCCCACTTGTAGGTGAGAACATGTGGTATTTGTTTTTCTTTTCCTGTGTTAATTCATTTAGGGTAAGCGCCTACACCTGTGTCCATGTTGCTGCAAAGGATATGATTTCATTCTATTTTTTTCTTAAGACAGAGTCTTGCTCTGTCACCCAGGCTGGAGTGCAATGGCACAATCTCAGCTCACTGCAACTTCTGCCTCCTGGGTTCAAGCCATTCTCCTGCCTCAGCCTCCGGAGTAGATGGGACTACAAGCATGCGCCACCATACCTGGCTAATTTTTTGTATTTTTAGTAGAGACAGGGCTTCTCCATGTTGCCCAGGCTGGTCTCGAACTCCTGACCTCAGGTAATCCACCCACCTTGTCCTCGCAAAGTGCTGGGATTATAGGCATGAGCCACCATGCCCGGCCATCTTTATCCAATTCATATTGATGGACACCTAGGTTGCATTATCCCTTTTTTGATCCTCTGTGAAAGTCTGAAGCCCCTCCCAAGATTTCTGCAGATTCCCTATCGGCATGTCATCCCGAGGTTAACTCTGGATCTGGGTTCCTGCTTCTATGCATGTTTCCATATTCTGCAGTTGGTGATGCTGGATGTTAATCCAGCCCTTTCAGTCAGTTCCCTTCACACACAAAAAAATAGTGGCTAAAAATAGACTTGAGTAAGTGGAGGTGCAGAGACGTTTACACTGTGGCAACACAAACATTTCAGTTGTATGTTATTACTCTGTCTGACCATGTCCTTCAGCATTCTCTCTCAGGGGAATATGCCCCATACCTGTACCTCCTTTAGTCAAGCAGTATTCAGTGTTACACCATTTCTGAGGCTCTCCTCTTGCCCCACAGACTCTTCAACCCTATCAGCACTAAAATTAAAAGTACCTTCTTACTCATGCAAAACAATTCTACCCCCAACCTAGTCATCAAGCAAGAATGTTTCTCTTCTAAGAAAAAGTCTTTGCAGGTACTTAGCACAAAATTTCACCTTCTGTCTCACTTAGTTATAAAGCTGTTAATTCAGCAGTCCTGCTGAGTAAATCGGCCAGTCTTGAAAATGGGTTGTGTGAAGAATATGGATATAAAGTAGTTTCGGGACAAGGAATCACTGTAGAAATTTCAAACAATAGCAGAACAACATCAAAGGAAAAGTTATGTGTTAGATGAAAAATAATAAACTGAAAAAAAGTGAATGAAGCTTGAAGTTTTCAAAACCACTGAAGAGACACAAAACCATTTAAAGCCTTGCCTGGTCCTCTAGTGCTTCCTTTTTAGAGCAGGCAGCCACATACATGATGCTAGTCATGACCTTGTATTTATAAAATTGCCCAGGACTGGAAAGTGATCAGAAGCAATTAGACCCTCAGTAGCATTAGTAAGATTGAAATGAAAATCCAAGTAAATCTCATGTGTGAAAGCGTAACAAAAGATATTTTTGGGGGGTTTTTGAGATTCCTCCCTACTATTCTTTCTGACCTTCCACCCTTACTCCCTGCCCATGGGGGATTGTACTTTTAGAGGAGAACGACATTATCTAAATTGATCAGCTAGTCAGGTTGCAAATAAATGTTAGGGAGAACAATTGACCCTGTTTCTGAAAAGGTGCCGTGTCCTTGAGGAGGTGCAGCGACTGTGTGCACAGCGCCCCCTGGTGATGAGACACTGGCTTTTCCTCATAGTAAGGGCAGAGCGTCTCCAACAGTGGAGTTTTCAGTTACATAATACTTTTTGAGATCGTACTTGTTTCATCGCAAAAGTGCCTAATAACACACTTCTGGAGATGCTTTTCAAAGAGAGAGAGTTTCCAGAAATCTCTCTTTGAAAGAGTTCTTTCCATTTTTAAGCTAGGCTTTTTTTCCCCCACCTCTCTAGTTCCTGCAGTAATTGTAAAACTGGCAGGGACAGAATGAGGCTACAAATGAAGTGAAAAGGATGCTGTACCGCGTGCGATAATTCAGAAAACTAATACATACACATACGGAACAATTAATTACAAGCGTAAAGGAATATGTGTTGAAATATCAAGATATATGGCTTAAAGTCAGTTATTTGAGTTCTGGACAGACAGAAACCAGTGATGTTAGAAAGCGTTTTACGTATTTGTTTATTTAATACTATCCTACCTTGTCTAGGAAGCATTCAAGACCATAGACATTCAACACACAAAGATAAAAAAAAAGTTGAAAGGCAAACAGCCCAGCTAGTGAAATACAGGGAGTCATTCGAAAGACAAAATAAAGGCTTGAGTTTCATGTTTAGGGAGAGGAGAGACATTTAGGATATATTCCCTTTAAAGGTAGAGAATACGCCTTCACTGAAAGTGTTCGTGAAGTCTAAGTGACACTTGCTGGGGACTCTGTCAGGAGACGAACATAGGTTAAACTGGATGATGTCCCTTGTGACCCCAGTGTATGAACACACCTATATGGAGAGATTATTGTGTATGTATCACTGTCATTTATTCTACTGGGATGCTATCAAAAAGCCTTAAGACTGGGTTCCTGACCCTCAGCGTTTTATAATGTTCCCCCCAAATAAGACCCCTGTGCATGTAATCATTGGAGAATGTTATGAAGCCACATTTCATTAGTTCCATGGAATATTCCACAAAGGAATACCTTGAAGAATATTAGGATTTGGGAGGAGGAAGGGGAGAGGAGAAGTCTTGTCAATTTGGGAAGATACCTTGATGAGAATGTGAACACACCGCTGTGTGCTCAGGGTGAAGAGCTTTGGCTGAGATGAGGGAGTCTGGAAAAGCCTTCTGAGCAGCTCCTTTTGTAGTTGTTCACAGCCTGACAATCCCTAGGTGCATGTAGCAACTCTAGTCCAGGTCAGGTGGGTGCTGGGATCCGAGCAATTCTGATCTGAGGAAGGAGGCACGGCTGTGGCCTCATGGGCACAGAGATGGTGGGAAGGTCTGTCACAGAGCAGATGTGTACCAGGGAACATCTGTCCAAAAGAGAAAGAAAAACGGGCAAATGTAATCACGGGGGAGAAGGGTAATAGACGCAGGTAGAAAGCGGTCTCTCAGGAAGGCTGATTTCCACCTGGTGATAGATTTTGGCAGCTGTCTATAAATGGCACTAACGTTACGGAAGATGCCGCTCCAGGAAGGAGTCTGTCGTTGGAGCAGGGGGTGAGTTAGGATGGAAGGGTGATAATTGCACTGCAGCAGGTGCTCACAGGGAGAGCTGGGGAGGTGTGTGCCTGGAACAGAGTCTCAAAGAAGTACAGAAAATGGCATACATTGGTATAGAATATACGGGTCTGTGGAAAGCAGGCCTTGCTAGAATAATGAGGAGTGTTATCTTTGAGAAATTTTGAGGGCTGATGAAAGAGCAAGAGAATTCAAAAGGAAAAATAGGATAGAAATGAGGCTAGAAAAACATGCAGGAGCTAGAAAAGTGAAGAAACCCCTGCCCCTGACCTTCCTTCCCTCTACCCTCGTGGTCCTCTTACTGTCCTTGACTTTCTCCTCTGCTTTAACATTGCACTCCATCTGTCAGCTGCTCAACACAGGGATAGAAGTGGACATTGTTTTCCAGAGAGTCTCCTCTTTATAGTCTCTTCCTTAACCTTAGAATTTCTGTCTTTTTAGCATGTTGTGAAGGAGAACACTAACATGCCTAAGATTGGAGGTGAAGGTGTCTCAGTGGTGCTGCAGAAGTCAGTGTCAAAACAAATACTCTCAGTGTAATTGACAAAGTGGGCCCTTCTTTGATAGAAAACGGTATTCCTGTCTTTTCTTTCCTATCTCATCCTCGGTAGTGCTTGTGTTGCTCCATGAAAGAGAGGGCACAAGAACACTCACAGCTTTCTCTCTTTGCTTTCATTCTTTATTGAAGCCTTTTCAACTCATCGCTTATCTAGGCTGCTGCTGTCTTCTTCGTATCTCTATGTAGTTGTCGTCTTCGTGAGGCAAACTTAGAGATAATCTAGGGAAAACAGGAGAAAGGAAAGGAAGGGAACAGAGTGGGGATCACTGAGCAGGCAATATGTAATAATTATATGTGTATGCTAGAGAAGAGAGTAACATAAAACAGAAATGTTTTTTCATTTTGAAATACATATCAATAGCTGACAAGCGCTATCAAACTCTCCATTTCTAGCCTAGATTCTAAAGCAATTTCTAATTCTGTAGACTTAAAGGAGATGAAATTTTAAAATTAAGTATTTTTAAAAATGTTGCTGGTCAGGGTGGCTTGCACTTGTAATTCCAGTGTTTTGGGAGGCTGAGGTTGGAGGACTGCTTGAGACCAGGTGTTCAAGACCAACCTGGGCAACAGAGCAAGACCCCACCTCTAAAAAGAAAATTTTAAAAATTAGCCAGGCATGGTGTTGACACCTGTAATCTCCACTACTCATGAGGCTGAAACCCAGGAGTTTGAGGCCACAGTGAATTCTGGCTGTGCCACTACCCTTCAGCCTGAGCAACAGAGCAAGACCCCACCTCTAAAAACAACAGTGGCAGCAACAGCAGCACTAGTGAAAATGTCAAGTCAATAGTAGATGTGTTCTGTATGTGATCTTAGCCGGAGAAACCCAAGACGCCATAGTTGGAGCAAAACTGTGGCTAAAACATACTTTTTGTTTTCCTCTAGCTCTGTTATAAAGAAAACATTTAGGAAATTCTCTCTCTCTCTTTCACCTATCCCACATTCTGTGTGCCCTTTGTACTTTTGCACCATCATTCCTAATTTCTTTGGCATTTGGAAAATAGGTTAGCCAAAATTTTATTGTATTTCAAAGGCTAGTTATGTGTTCTGATATTAGATGTAAGAACATGAGATTCTTCATATTAAATTGGTAAATTAATTATTGGCAACCTAGTCGTTTAGGTTGGCAGGGATTCTCTCAATAATCATTTGGTAGGGTAGCAGAAGCGAAGGAGGAGTCTTCAGAAAAATCAACACCAAAAGGATTTTCTTCCTTTGGGAAAAAGAATTTTTATAAAACGAGTCTTGAATTGCTAATTGTTATGAACCTCATAAGAAAAAAGTATTTTGTATTTACAAAAATGAAATGAGTTCTATTAGATAGATATTGTTTTGATATTCTAGGAACTACAAAATGCCTTCTGTGATATTTAAAGATACACTAAGAATAAAAAGAAACAAAAATAATGAGACATTCTAAATAAAAGTCAAGTGGGTAAGGAAGCAAGGCCATTTCAGAGAAAAAAAGCTTACTTTGAAATTTAAGGATTCATTAGTACTCAGATGTAGTTTTTAGAGGAGAGGGAAAAAAGAATACATACCTACTAATTTGAAATTCGTGTTTTTAATAGCCATCTTTTTTTACAGAGCCCACCTGAATGACCTTGAAAATATTGTTCCATTTCTTGGAATTGGCCTTCTGTATTCCCTGAGTGGTCCTGACCCCTCCATAGCCATCCTGCACTTCAGACTCTTTGTCGGAGCACGGATCTACCATACCATTGCGTATTTGATGCCCCTTCCCCAGCCAAACAGAGCTTTGGGCTTTCTTGTTGGATATGCAGTTACTCTTTCCATGGCTTACAGATTGCTGAAAAGTAGATTGTACCTGTAAAGAGATTCATATAACTCATCATCCAGTTGGTTTCTTAAGAATTCTCTACTTCCAATTTATAATGAATACTTCCTTAGGTTTTAGGTAAGAGAGAAGCAGAGGAATTATGAACTGGGGTAAATCCATTTTGAATATTAGCATTGCTAGTATCCTGTACTCTTGATTTACATTTGGATTAGAAATTTAACATAATAATTCTTATGTCTTTTGTCTGGTTTTTAAAGTACTTTCTTATAAATTTTAATCACGTTATGATTTGTGACATTCACTCAACACTGCACTTTTGAATCTATAAAATAATTGCATGTATGAGAAAAATTTCAATACTGCTGAAACGGAAATATGAAATAAAAAATTTAGAGAATGACTTTGTTTGTTTTTATTTTTCCTAACATTTTGTTTTCAAAAGTTCCAAACCTAGGGAAAAGCTGAAAAATAGTACAAATTTTACTATGCCCTTCGCTTAGACTCACCAGTCATTAACATTTTACGTATTTGCTTTCCCTCTCTCTGTTTTCTTTTCCTTGGAAACATCTGAGAGTAAGTAGCAGATATCATGACACATCACTCCTTAATACTTCAGCATGTTTTTCCTATGAAAAAGATAATCTCCAAATAACTATAACACTGTTATTACACCCAAGACATTTAGCACAATATAATATTTAATATATATAGTCCTTATTCTAATTATTCCAATTTCCCCCATAATTGCCTTCATAACTGCTTTATTTTTGATCCAGGAATCAAAGACCAGACATTGCCTTCTGTTATCATTTCTATTTAGTTTTCACTTAAATGAGAGACTTCTTTCACTTTCTTTTTCTTTTTTATAACCTTGACTTTTTTTGAAGGGTGTAGACAAATTGTTTTATAGAATGACCCTTAATCTGGATTTGTTTCATTTAAGACTTTCTCATTCTTAGATTCAGATTAAACTTTTTTGGTGGTATGTCCTTCACATTGTAATACATCAGTAGGCATATGATATCAGTTTGCTCTGTTTGATCAATTTAATAAGGTAATGTCAACCAAATCTGTCTATTTTAAAAGTCTCCTTTTATTTTTATAATCATATGTGGGGTGATAACTTGAGCCTACGATTATCCCTACAAACTTTCACTTAATAGATTTAGCACCCAGATATGTTGTTTGGTTTCTACATATAAATATGTAACACATAAATCACACAAATTTAGATTTTTTTGGTCTTCAATGGAATGTATACTTCAGTCTTGATAATAAAGGGTGAGCTCTTAAAATATCAATATTTTCCTTATATATGCTGTCCATGTAATTTATATTAATTTTTTATTTTCCTATCTTTTGATTCATTTTAATTTTAAATATATTTCTTAAACAGTACTTTTAATGGCATTTGTGAATTGTTCATTTAGATTTGCCACTCAAGAGAAAAGTCACTGTGTTATGTTTTAGGTTTCACAGGCTGAGCAACTCAAGTCCATAAACAAAACCTATTAGACAATTGACTGGGTAGAATTCCATACAAGTTTCTTTTTACTTCTTTTTTCTAATGTTAAAAGCAGCTTTGCATACTGTGGATCTTGGCTTTAGGAACTCTTTGTGGTGTAATTAATAAAAAAATCCATGAACCCAAGAGGGAAAAGTCCAAATGCCATGAGTTGACTCTGCATGCATAAACACACACACACACACACACACACACACACACACACCCCTGCTCTCTGGATTTGGGCAGCTAACTCACCCTGTCTGATCTGCAGTTTCCTCAAACTTTATAAGGTTTTTTGAAGGTCATATACTTTTCTGTATGTGAAGCCCTTGAAAAAAGTATATTCTAAGCCATTAAGCATTTCCCATGTGTAAATTATTTCAGTAATCTGTCAATCATAAAGATTCAGATAACTGAGCTCCTCCTAGTTTTGGGTCAGATCTTTGTTGAACCATTATCACTTCTTTCATTGTTTTCTCAAATTTTCTTCTCATTTGGTAATGCTTCTCTGAGTAGAAGCAGAGTGGATTGTGGTTATTGTAGCGGTTATCCATTTAGCAACTAATATTTGATATTCATTAGTAGACATTTTTTAGGGGAAAAGGACATTTAAATTTTATATTCTCAGAGGTATAGGAACTATGTATATGAGCAGAACATGCTTAAGGAAAAATGACAAACTCTAAGAATTACCCAGTTCGGTTTCTAAATGTAAGTATAAGTTGTAAAAATCATTTAGAATAGTTTTCCAACTATACTTTTACTTAGAAGAGAAGCCTTAGGTACTGGGGGATTTATTAGTGAAACTGCTTTTATGAAGGAGGGTGGATGAAGGGGAAGGATATTTACTGGTCTAGCCTCTCCTGCATCAAGGATTCCCCACCTGACCGCAAGACAGAGTTGGCTCTACAGTGAAGTCTGTGTGCTAAGTGATTTTAACTTATGATGGGACTCAGGGACTCAAGTGAAATTGTACAACTTGCCTTAAAACTGTTACCTATGAGCAATTGGAGGGGTTTGTTTTCATGTTTCTGCTACTTCATTTGAAAACAAAAATTGTGGCTTATTTATCTTTGTATCTGTATTGCATAGCTGTGTACACGCACATGCACACACACTCACACAACTATCACCAGTAGTAACCTTTATGGATCCTTAGTAATTAGGTAACATTGTTACTTTTTTTTTTTGAGACAGAATCTTACTCTGTCACCCAGGCTGGAGTGCAGTGGTGCAATCTCAGCTCACTGCAACCTCTGCCTCCCACGTTCAAGCGATTCTCCTGCCTCAGCCTCCTGAGTAGCTGGGACTACAGGCATGCGCCACCAAGCCCGGCTGATTTTTGTATTTCTTAGTACAGATGGGATTTCACCATATTGGCCAAGCTGGTCTCGAACTCCTGACCTCATTATCTGCCCGCCTTGGCCTCCCAAAGTCCTGGGATTACAGGCATGAGCCACCACATCCAGCCCTGTTACTTCTTCAAATACCACCATCTCCCTTCATTCAGGCCTCGTTCTGTCCCCACCTATTCTAAGCCAACCCTATCACAAGTTATCAAGGTCCACTGAAACTGGAAGATATTTGTCTGTACCTCTTATAGGGGCATCGTTTAGGGCAGTGATGGGAGTTTTGGGGGCAGGGTTCAGTGACTTTCAAATGAAATTGGAGAGAGGTGGGTTTTACCAGAATTACTGTAGTAAAGGCAAATGTATATTTATATAGATATTGCATCTGTATTATATTGGACAAAACTATATATTTTTATGTAATACTACATGACGTAGAATCTTCTTAATAGGTGGGAAACTGCCTCTTTCAGGGCATAGGAGTTCTTAGGCCCAGAGAGGCAGATTCAGAAGAACCTAAATATAAGTGAGACCAAAGTGTAAATGAGAATGGCAGGAAATGCATGGAAACAGACTTGTAACTGTCCCATGGCCTGGTTGTCCAAATTCCAGAGATTAGTCCATTCTCCTGCTGTGGTCAAGCTGCCCTGGAAGCTAAGTCATAAGAGAAGCTGCTGTTGGTTCTCCTTACGGCATCACTGCTAAAGATCCCAGCATCTCTCTACGTCCCAGTGTTCTGCACAGTGCCGTGTGTTGTGTGTGGCAAAACAGCATGTTTGATGGGCGTGGGTTTAAACCAAAGAGAGTTCTAGGAATCAAATATTAAATGGATAAGACTAAGATAATCTGACACATCCATTATTCATTTCAAGGTGGAGATAATCTCTTGCATGAAACTAAAAACCTCACAGTCTGTTGACCACAGCATCCCACATCCAATTCATCTTTACACTTGGAATGAGTGTGCAACTGGGACTGGCAAGGCCAAGTCTGATGACACAGGACCCTCACCGCTGTGGGTGCTTGGATAGGTATAGTCAATGCTTATCTTTGTATATGTTTTTCCTGTTTCCTGGGCAATCCAATCAGTCTTCTGTCCTATACAGTCTCCCTTTCACTGTATTAAAACACAAAGAGGCTACTTCTTGGATGTTACCAATCAGGAAGTGACTTGGCATATCTATTCTGTATTTAGCTAGGAGGTTAACCATCAAAAGATAATTGCACAAGCTCTGATCCCGAGTTACTAGGGAGACCTCTCAAAGCCCGTAAGCACTGCTGACTGCGACTTTCCCAATGTAACATTCAATGACTCTAAGGCCAGATGTTTTGCTAGGCAGTGAGGAGAAGGGCATGGAGTTTCTGACACCCAAATTATTAAATTTTAATGCAGTAAGACCTAGTGCTAGGGAATTCTGATGGGTTCTGTAAACCATTCACCTGAGGACTCTACTTTATAAATAAAGAAACAAACAAAAAAGTAGTTTCTGAGTTGCATAGTTGCATCACACTGATTCTTCGTGGAGGCAGATGGTAAGAAGCAAGGCAATCTGCCTTGGGAGTCTTTACAATCCATTTAGAAACAGCAGCACAAAAATCCTATGATCATCTCCCCCCTGCCAGCCTGAAATGTCAGCCCTGTGGGAAGCTGTTAGGTGTTCCTGCCATCAGCCAAAGCAGCACCTCTACATGCATACCTTTCAGGGTACTTTATTCACTATATATTCTAGGTAAACTGTTGGATTTGACAAGGAGGAGTTGTCGAAGGCAGACTACTGGGAAGGGGCTGTGTTGGGTTGAATTTGGCACCAATCTCTCATACTTGACAGCTCATGTGCAAGATTGTGGATGAGCTATAGGACCTATGAGCCTCCTCAGTCAGCAAGCGTAGGCCCTAAGTCACATTTAATTCAGAATGCCTGACAGCCCTGCATAAAATGTGAGCCATAAAATGGAGAGATAGGAGCTGTGTGCAAGAGTAGACCATTTACGTTATTTCCTTTTGCTGAAGTTTTGGAAAATATGAACCAGGACAATGTAGACTTTGATACACCACGAAGAGATCTGTATTAGTAACTTCAAGAAAATAATCCAAATAATCCAAACTTTAAGCCAGACATAATTTTTAATGACCCCAAACTAAGAGGGACATCCGTGTAACGTTAGAAGATGCCTAAAGTTCTTAGTCTTTTAGCCCAAGTCATACATATCTGTACTTATATCTTTATAGAAGCAAAACCACCCAAAATAAAGAGAATAGTGAAGGATTGAAGCAGTGTGGTATCGTGACTAGATACTGGATTTGAAAAACACCTGTATCTGAGTCTTGAGGCTTTCTGGCTGCCTGAGATAACGACTGAGGCTTTGTGCCCCATCCTTAATTCTAAAGTAGCAAAATTAATACTTTACCTACTGTATTAATAGCCACAATAGCTTTGCATGATAAATCATCCTATGACTCAGTGGCTTTGTTAGTGATTCTGCAGGGTTGAGCTGATCTTGATCGGGTTTGCTCATGTGTCTGCTGTAAGTTACAGGTTAGCC